CAAGATAAAGACTGGAGATGAACTGGTAGCAGTTACTGATTTAATAATACATAATGTAACTAAGGACTATGCTACTGAAGCTCTTACTAATGTACAGGGAACAGTGAGACTACTACTGATACAGGACCTATGAATGATATGATGATATCTGGAGACTATGAATGAATGAATCTATTGATTGGTCACTTTATCTCTTTCATTCGTATTATTTCTTGTTTTGTGTTTCTTTCAAGAAAGTGTGTATTTGTGTTTTTTTTTTTGGTTTACAGTTTTATGCAGTTTAAATTACACCATCATCATTACTCACTGCATTTAGATAGGCTTATCTAACACTGTATTAAAGTATCACGCCCTCCTAGTTATTTTTTTTGTTTATAAAAGAACTCTAGTTCCATCTCCTCGGCCTCGACAACGTTTGCTCTGTCATTATCCTCACTGATCGTCTCGTCTCTATTTTATTCTGCTAGTTTTATTGCTGTTCTCCAGGCTCCTTTTACTTGCAAATCATGGCAAAAAGTGAGTTCTCAAGTGTGTTGTAGCTGTTTAATTAGTAAAATTAATCAAATCAAAATGAGCTTGATCCGATGGTCACAAAGCATGCGTAAACCTTGGGTGCATGTTTGACCAAATCTTCATTAGTCGAAAATTTCATAAAAATAATCTACTTTCTATCAATGAAAATGCTGCATAAAGCTAGATCTATAGTAAATGAAAACTATGTGGCATTAATTTTATAATTATCTTGCTATAGAACTATAGACTATTTTTAGTTTTGTAACATTTTCCACCAACCAGTTGCAGTATAATAGTTAATAGTATTTTCTATTTTTATTTCTCCTTCCATAGGTGCTTCAGATTTATTTAGAAGCATCTCTGCTAAACTTAAAGACTCCATATCATCTGATCTGGTTGTAGTGTCAACGAGTCTTTATGCTAGGAGCCTGATAACAACCCAGCTACATGAGGAAATGCTCGAGGGTCTTGATAGCAATTCAAATAAAGCTGCCAAGCTTGTAACTGTACTACAGGAAAATCTTCATGCCCACACTAATCCTGAGACATATCTACAAAAAGTGTGCTCAGCATTGAAAGAGAAAGGACAGAAACAAATTGTTGATATAGTGAACGAATTAGAACATACATGTAAGTTAAGATTAGTTTTAGTTATTTTTTATTACAACATCTGTCTTATCATTTTCTCATATACATGTATAGTTAGTAAATTGTACACATGTATGTAACAATCAGAGTCAGTGTCAGTTAACTATTGTATTTGTATTTCATGTTTTGCAACTATAAAACCTCCATTAATTATACTGCTTGAAAGGCACATTTTATTGGCGACATAATCATAGTATTCTAGTATTCATTATCAGAATATCTAATATCTGTGGGATTTGTTTGTCTTGAATTACTACACTAGAAAGTGTTGCATAAACTGTTCCCATGCATTCTATTCAGACACACACACAAGTCACAACTAGAATACAACTCTTCTTTGCACAATGTAATTTTCCAAAAATAATCTAGGCTAATTAACTAAATTGCAACTTGTAGGCTAAGCTGGTAGTATCCTTTTAAAGTTAAAATGTAACCATTGCAATGTCCAACCTTTTTATCATAGTCACTCTCTTAGTAGCTACATTGTAGAAACAAGTCACAACTGATAATCCTGCCACTACCTTTGGTTTTATTGTATGACACATATTTACATATTTTTTTACTTTTTACAGTATCCATTTCAGTGGTGCAAGCTATTAAAAGCAGCAGTATTTCTATTGATGAACCTGAAGACACTTTATCAGCTGCTGATGGAACACAAGGTATTCAGAATTGACTCATACATTACATTACAGCAACTACAACACTTACCAT